TCAGATCGTCACATTCCTCCGTGCTCATTCGTAACACACCCATCACTGTCACCACGTCTCCTCCCCCTGATCCACCCTCCTGCATCTCCGCCCCCGTCCGCCACCACTCAACACCCGACACCACTCCCTACCACTACCACTTCACAACACTCCGCGCCTACCCACAATGCACGCAAACTGCGCCCCGCTCACATCACACCACACCACCAATCCTTGCACATTCCCACACCGCATCCTCGCCCACCGCCGCCACATCTCACCTGCGGGCCTCGTCGTCCCGAATCTTCGCATCGAACTCCTTGCTCGGCGGGTACTGCGGCAAGCTCGACGGCTCGCACGCAAGAGGCTTCGTCGTGAAGAACTGCACAACCACACCACACACGCCCTACGTCAATCCACCCACGCCGCTCAACCAACCCATCCCTCCTCCATCCACCCCACTCCTCCCCACACCACCGTCCTCTCCAATCGTATCAAATCCTCACCCCGTCCACTCCCTCACCTCGCTGCCCAATGCTTGACTGGCGTTGCCCCTATCCGCCGGTTCGATCGCCAGCAGCGTGTCCAGCAGTGCTAGCGACGACGCCGGAAACTCTTTGAACGTCTCCTGAATGCACCGCTTGTACGGCTGCTGAGGCTTGAATATCGTCGCGTGCGGCAGCTTCGACTTCTTCCAATACTCCTCCGACGGCGAACCGCACAACTTGAAAATCTTGTGCAGCTGTTCCACCTGCCACCACACACCCATGCCACAACCAACCCCACTTCAGCACGCGCCTCACATTCCACACACCCCCCCCCCATCACTCACCACACACTCGCCGCGACTGCCCGCGCTACCACCTACGCGACCCCTCGCCACCCACTCTCCCCATCGCTCACCACTCTGCACACCGATGCAGCGCCCGCGACTTCTACACTCCCACACACCAACCACCACATCGCCCCACAACACACTCCTCCGCACCTATCGCCACCTCATGCACCGTTCCATCTTCATCTATCCACCCAAGCCCCCTCCCCCCGACTACGCTGCCTATCGCCCATCCACCGTATCCGTCAACGCAGCAACCAAACATTTCCCAACCTCCGTTCGTCCCGGCATGATGGGCTTCCCCGCTAGCAGCTCCGCCAGTATGCACCCCGTGCTCCAAAGATCCACCGCCACGCCGTACTCCGTCGCTCCCAGCAGCAGCTCAGGGGGCCGGTACCACAACGTCACCACGCGACTCGTCAGAGGCTGCTTCTGATCCGGATTGAAGAAAGTTGCCAGCCCGAAATCTGCTATCTTCAGCACCCCGCTGTTGTCCAGCAACAGGTTCGATCCTTTGATGTCCCGGTGCAGCACGCCCTGCCGGTGGCAATGCTCCAACCCCCGCAACAACTGCTGCATGTAACACTTCACCTGCACATCGCCCAGCCAAGCAAATCGCTCGTCAGCCTCCACACTCTCCGCCTCCCCTCCACATCACCGCCACGCCTCAATGCGTCCACCCCACCCTGCAACCTTCCCACCTCACAACTCCACCCCCTCCCCCAACAAACCTGCCCACTTACCTCCACGCTCCCATCCACAACCACTACCCATTTCTCCCACCCGACTTCCACACTTCCTCACTTCGTCTTTCCCATTTCGCCCCTCCATAAACACTGCCCGCTGCCACCCGACACCCCCTCCGTCCTACCGCGTTCAGACCACGCCCACCGCCTCCAACGCACTCGTACACACCCCCCCCCCCACTCCGCATTGTCTCCAAAACTCAGTCCCCGATCACATTCCCACATCACCCCTGGCCCTCATACTATACAACGTCCACTCCCATCCACGTTTTCCCTCATCCCATCCAACTAGCCACCTCCCCCTATCCCCCCGCAAATCGTCCGCCCCCTACCCACACCCCACCTCTGCCCCGCCCACCGTCACGTACTTCTGCTCCTCGGCATGCACCCCTCGCCACCCACCCTCGCTGCGCTCCCGCAATTACGCCGACCACCATCGACCCCAGCTCTCCACCACGCTGTCACCAAACAGATCACTCCCTACCCTTCCCCTTCCCCTTCCCCTACTGCGGGGCATGCATCCGAACCTGAGCTTCCGTGAACATTATGCCCGGGCACGCCGCCAGCCCCGCCAGGTCGTGCTCCATGTACTCGAACACCAGATACAGGCTGCACGACATTCGAGACGTCACCAGCCCCTCCAGCTTCACCACGTTCGGATGGTCCAACCGTCTCAGAACCTGGATCTCTCGCGCCATAAACCGCACGCTCTCCGGCTCCAGGTTGTCGAATCGAACCTTCTTCAGCGCCACGATCTTCCCCGTCTCCAGATCCCGCGCTTTGTACACGTTGCTGTACGTTCCCTGCCCAATCTGATCCCACCCACACCCACCCTGTTAATGCTCCCCCTCCACAACGCATTCCGCTCCATCACATCCACTCCCCACATTCCCTGCACCCCCACTACCATCCCCACTCACTTTGTCCAGCTTCTCGAACGACGCTGCATGCCGAGGTATCCACCCCTTGATGGCCTCCCCCGCCACCTGCGACAGCCAGCCCGGCCATCCCGCTGCCACCTGCTCCCCCTCCAAGCTCTTCGCCACCGCGCCCGACCGAGGGTGCGCCTCCGCGTGCGCTCGCTCTCCCCGTCTCCTGCTCCCCACCGAATCGTCTGCCTTCACCTCCACCACCTGCGCCCCACTCTGCTTCGTCCGCCCCTTTGCCCGATCCTTCTCCTTCTCCTTCTCCTTCTCGATCACCAACACCGGATCCGCCGTCTCCACCTTCGCGCTCGACCCGGGCCGTCGCGCGGACGACCGGGTGCTCGCGCTGTGGTTGCTCGCCTTCTCATTCGGGCTTCCCGACTCCACGTACACTGCCCGCGGCTTCGACTTCGCACAGCCCATCCCTGAGCTCCCACGTCCACGCCCCGCTGATCTTACGTCCGCCGGACTTCTCCCGGCCCCCACCGACACTACTCCTCCGACACCTTACCATGCACGCGCCTCACCGCCATCACACACCTGCCCCTCTCAACTCACCACCCCAACGGTCCCCACCCCTCTCCAATCTGCTGCGCGCCACACCTCCTACATCGCCCGCCCTCACACACCCTCACGCACCACGCCACCACCACAGCACAGCACCATCCACTCCCCCGCTCGCACCCTCGCTGCTCCCGCCAACCTCCCCGCTCCCATCACCCGCCGCGCTGCGCATTGCCCTCCCGTCCCCCTCTCTGCCACCCCCGAGATCGGCCACCATCAACAACGCTGCCCTCCGATCACCGTCCCTCCCCCGCGCCTTGTCCCCGCCCGCCTCAACTCAGCCTCAACCTCAACCTCCACCCTGCTCTGTCCCCCCCCCCCTCCCACCTGCGTCCACAATGCCCAAGCTCTCCACGCCTACGCAACACCTCCCCTACCCTAACCAAACGCCCCACCGCTCCGCTCTCCAATCCACCCCGCCCCACAATGCATCGCAGCCTCCCGCTCCAAATCCTGCCTCGCCCAACTCCACCCCACCAAACACCTCTCTCCGTCACTCCTCCGCCCCCTCCTCCCGCAATGCACGCCCCCACTCGTCCTTCCTCCGCTGCCCAAGCACCAGGACCCACGCCAAGCCTTTCGCACGGCAACTGTAATGTCCAAAACCCGAATGCAATCCACCAACCATCCCCACGCACCTGCCCACGTGACCCCCGTCGTCGCGATGGACTCGCGACCTCCCACGCTGCGGCCTTTGCTATCTTGCGTTCGCAGCCGAGGCGATGGGTGCTTCGCTTCGCACACCTTCCAGCCAGCAAAGCATGCACGTACAAATCACCTCCACCGACGAGAACGAGAACGACAACGACAACGACAACCAAGATGACCAAATGCGACTCAGCAGCAGCGAAACAGAGCGCGGACAAAGGTGGTGACTAAAGGGGGGCGAAAGGCGGGGGATGCGACGCAGGCTGTGGGTGCGGCTCGGAGGAGGAGAGGGGCTCCGCGCGGACACCCAGACACGCAGCGAGCGAGCACGGGGAACGGGATGTGTTGAGAACGCCCTCCCTCTTTCCCTCGCTTCGTCCCTCTCTCCCTGGCGAGGACAGTTCCGGACGAGGATCCCGCGACGCAGGGAGGAGAGGGGAGGGCAGTTCTGGACGGAACGGGAGCGGGGAGGGGGGGGTCACCCACCCGGCCCGAGGGCCCCGACGCCCATTGCAACGGCATCTGACGGTTATTTGAGGAGGCCCGTCTGTTTCGTCATGGGAGTCTGTGTGGGAGATATGGTTTTGTTAAGGTGGAGTCCCCCAGTGGGCTCGCGTGGGTTCCATGGGCTGGGCTGAGCTGGACTGGGGTGCCTGCGTTCCCCGATAGATGGCTTGTGCATGGTTCCCCAAGAAGGGGGTGGCATGGCAGTTCGCTCTGGTTCCCGGGATGGCGCACGCGGGGGGAGCGCGGGGTTGGGTGGGGTGGGGGCTGCTTTGAAGTGCCGCCGATGGCGCAGATCTGAGCCTCTCGCTCGCATGGAACAGATTTGCTAAATTTGAGTGGTGTGACTTGTTTGTGCGTTGCGTTTGGTCGCGTTGCTCTGCGTTTCCTTTTGCAGGCTGCTCTGCTTTGCAGGGGCGATGGGCGGCAGCAGGAGAGTCAGGATGCTGCTGCATTACCACTAGTGTCCAGGATGCCCCAACCCCAACTGGTCTATTGGCACTTCTTCTGTGTACTGGGTGCTGCTGCTGCTCCCTTGTGTGTGTGTGTGTGTGCAGGAGGTATCTCTCTCTCTCTATTTGTTTTAGCCCTCCTTTCTCGCTTGCTTCCCGACGCTGGCGGATGGATGGATGCTTTCGCATTTTGGTCCCCTTGCGTTGCTGTACACTGTGGAAACATCTGATTAATTTATATGTACAGGGCTTTCTAGGTCCATGAGTTTTATGTTTGTTATTTTTAATTGTTTTTATTTGAAGTTTGCCGAATATTATCACGCTGGTGGGATGCTGTCTTGGAGGGCTTTGGTTGGACAGTTGTTCTTTTTATTGGTTGTATCGTTTGCAAACAATATTTAGTCGTGAAAGAGAAGAACAACTGATAATGTCGAACTGAGTTTGATACTGTCTTGTTTTTGGTTTAAAATGCCCACCCATGATATTTGATTGTGTATACATGATTTGATAGAACTGGTGAGGTGGTTGGAGTTGGTGTTGATATGTCCAGCATCTGTTGTGTAGGATGTGCCATTGTTTGTCTTTTGGATGTGTTCTTGAGTATATTAATTTTATAGTGTCATCTTCTATGCTATGATACAAAAGTTGTGGTGTATATAAAATTATTTCTTTAGAATATTTTATGAATTCTTTTGTGTACTTATTCATATACTATGTATTTACATTTATTGGTTCTCTATTAACTGTTTTTTGTATTTTAGATTCTTGTGATATTTTTTGAAGTTATTTTGGTCCTATGTTCATATATATATATATATATATATATAGTAGATGAACTTGTGTTGTTGTCATGGAAAGTATGATTCAAATAGGATGTGTTTGTGAACCAAAGAATATTTTTTAAATACACATGCAATACAAATAGAAAAAAATAAAATTCACATTGAGCTTTTAATTACAAAATAGGATAGGTAAAGCCGTGCCATTATCATGGATTATATGCAAAAAAAGTAATTTATTATTTTCAAGGAATTACTTGTGAAAATAAAAGAATATATTAAATTATATTAAAGAAATGATTGCATCCAATGAAAATTTAAACCTATTCAATGGATTTTTTAGGTAAATATGCTAGTAGAAGACTTAAGCCTTGCAACAAAGCTAATTTTCACGAATGTATTGTCAATGAGAACCAGTATGGTGCAAGCTCAAAATTGCTACCTCAAAGGTGTACATATAATGGTCAAAGATCCTTACATGACTCGGTTTCCTAATGGAGTAGTAGAAGTGTTAGTTGAATAACCTCATTGTTAAACATAGCCAATGAAGAGGTATTCATACACTATTGTTTATCAAGAATCCTGCTTATTTATAAAATCTTGTTATTTGTGTGTGTGCATGATCAAGTTGATCTCTAAGTGACCAAAGTTTTTATTCAATTGTCAGATGTATGTATTAAGCTTTTACATTCCATAGATCAAGATGGTCTAGTTGTTGAATTTCTCAAGAACAATCTCAACAATGGCATCCATCACATCTCATTTGTGGTATGGTCATTCCTACCTTGTGCAAAACATTTGTAATTTTTTCTCAATAATTTTTAAGTCTAATTTATCACTAATCTATTTTTTAAGTCAATAGTATCAACTCAATAATATGCTACATAGGTGAAGCAAGTATAAGAATATTCTTAATTACAACTCCAACATAGAAGCAAGTTACAAATTTGAAATGTTTCAACAATCCAAAGATAATATGGAAATTCTCATCACATTCCAATAGATAATAAACTGCTCCCACTATTGTATTATGGTTTAGCTACCATGTAAATATAATACATATTTACATATTTAATATAAAATTTATTATACAATATAATAAGATCCACCTTTATTAGACATTGGTTACTCTTCAAATATTATTTTGTTTATTTTATTTGATGTTTAGTGCACATACTATATAAAACTTATTAGAAAAATGATAAAAGAAGGATTTTGTGTAAAAATAGGTAGTTAGGCCAATCACAAGGATGAATGGAAATGGATGATAAAAATCTCCATTCTTACTAGCTAAATTCATGTCCAATGGACTTCAAGGAGGTTGTTTGAGGCCTTATTAGGAATTAAGATTACTTTGTTGAAATTGTTTAAGTATTAGAGGTTATGATTGTCAAGTTTAGGATTTTGGATATGGTTTTGATGAAAATTTTATGTAATATGGAGTTTTTATGAAGGAAATATAGGCACTCAAAGTCAAGGTATTGATTTTGTATCTACTATCACTCGTTGGGATATAGCATATGCATATGAAGGACTTTTGATGATCAAATTCTACAATTGGAAAGCTGGTTTAAAGAACTATATTTTTCAAACAAAAGACAAAAGGTTTGAATTTGATTAAGAGGATCCATGATTGCTTGAAGACAACACTTTCAAATTGAGGTTTCTTAGTGAACCAATTTCATGAGAGATTTGATTTTAGCCATTTAAACAAATATTTAGCTACAAATTTATATAAATATGTATTATTATAATGTAAAGCTATATACCAACTTTTGTAGTATTTGAACTTTGGATTTTTGAAATGTTGAGAATGAAGTACTCAAGTGCTTATAAATCAAGGTTTAGAGCATCTGCTAGGGTATCTAAGATGCCAAACAATTGGAAGTAGATTTACGGTACATTTTTTGTAGTAAAGCTTAAAGATAAAGCCTAATTTATCTAAAAATTTGAGAAAAACTAAATGATTGGATCAAGAGATATGAATTTATAAAATTTGGTGGCAAAAAATCTTTTGTGGAAGAAAAATAGTTTGAAAGGATTTTGCTACAATTTGGGCATTTTATGTAAAGTAAAGGGATTATTGGGAGCCAAGACTTTATAAATATGTTAAAAATGGACATATGGAGCTATGACAAAATTAAGGTATAAAGATGGATATTTATAAAGAAATTGTACATTTTCTTTTAGCTAATAAAAAATTGAACTTACTAGCAATTAATTATTTATGATTTGGTATAAAAAAGGATGTTAATGTATTTTTGGAGGATTTAAAAAGCCTTGTATACAAACCCTCTTATATATTAAAGGTTTTTATTATTAGAACGTCTTTCTATATTATTATGTTTATTTATCTCTTATAATAGAATAAATCACTTATTATAGCCTTGTTAATAAGTTAAAGCTAAATTCTTTATAGTTAAGTATTTAATGTATTTTTAGAAAGAAAATCATGTTATATGACATTGTGCTTACATCTAAATAACTTCAACATAGGCTTGAACATGTAATCATGTTTTTTTGTAGGACATTGATCGAATAAGCATTTGTGCTTTCAAGCATAATTTAGAATATAACCTTTTAGATTTTATTTCATAAACAAATGCTTGGTGATGGCTCAAGTCTACTCAAACAGGCACTT